CGCCCGTCGTCTGCATTTCCTCCTTCGTTTTTTGCCTCCCTCTCTGCCTCGCCTCCTGCCCTGCGGCCGCGTGGGGCCCCCGGGGCTCCCGCCGCCGCGGCCTTCGCGGCGGGAGCGGCGGCAAGTGACACTCGCCCGAGCAGCGACACACTCGCCACCTCCCCCCCCCCCCCCACCCACCCCACATCCTCCCGCTTCCTCCCGCTCTCTTCCTCCGCACACACACACGCAAAAATCTATTTGTATAGCAACATTCAAGGCCTCACGCAGCCGCCCGCGCCGTCGCCTCCCCGCTTCCCCGCGTACTTGCGTGTGCCTTCCCCGGCCCCCGCCCCCCCTGACGTGCGTGCGGGGTGCCGGCGATGGACCAACACTTTCGGGTGCTGGGCATCCCGCGCGGCTGCGACGAGGCGGCGCTGAAGAAGGCGTACCGCCAGAAGGCCCTGGCGCTGCACCCCGACCGCAACCCCGGCGGCACCGAGCAGTTCAAGAAGGTCAACGAGGCCTACGAGGCCCTCTGCGTGCACTTCCGCCGCAACGGTGGGCACGACTCGGCAAATGTGCGGACTGCCACCGGCGTCGGTGGCGGAAGGCCGGGCAGCCGACCGCCGGCGACCTTCTTTAGCTTCAGCAAGTACTACACCAACGCGGGGTCCGGGTATCAGTACGCGCGGCGCACGCACTCCACCGAGGAGGCCCCGCACATCTTTACGGAGGAGGAGCTCTTCGGCTCCCCCCCCGGCGGCTTCGCCTACGACCGGCACTACGGCAGGCCCAAGTTCCCCACACAGGCCGGCAGCAATGCCGGCGAAAGGAGCAACGACGCCAACGCGAAGGGGGGCGGAGGCACCTACCGCTTCGGCACCTCACAAATGTATGAAAAAGCGGACGAACGCTGGCGCCGCGCCCACGGCGAGCGCGTGCCTGTTAGTGGCTACTCCATGAATAGCGGTGCCGCGCCTCCTCCCCCGCCGCCGCAGCCGGCGCAGTCCCAGCGGCAACAGCAGTCGACGCGGCCGCGGCCCACGCCATCGCCCTCCGCATTTGCGGCGGACGTTGGTGGTGGCGTCGACGGCCGTCAACGAGAGGAGGGCGGCAAACGCAACGTGGATGAGAGGGGCGGCGGTGGAGGCGCCAAGCGGAGACCCACCAGTCGCGGGGGCAGTAAAACGTACAGCTACTTTACCCCCGACCTCAATGGGAACAATGCGTACGCGTTCGATCCTGACAACCACGACTCCAGCGCCGTTGAAGAGGAGGAGCCTTCCTTCGCGTCGACCTCCTCGCCTGTAAACGATATTCTTAACGAGTTTGAGATGCAGCAAACCCTGCAGGAGATGCGTCGTGAGTGGGAGCGTCTGAAGAGAGACATGGACCGCAAAATGGCTGGATCGGCGTCGCTGCCCAGACGCCAGAGGGAGGGGCGGGAGGGAACCGATGTGGATAACGAAGAGGATTACGTGATGCACAAGCGACCACCGCCGCGACGCGAGGACGAGGCGTTCCAGCGGCGCCTGCGCGAGCAGCAACGCCTCAATGAGGCACACATGCGCGGCATTCTGGAGGAGAGGCTGCAGCTGAAGAAGATTCTCTTTACGCAGCGCTACACACCGGACCCGGCGGACGTCGCGCTAATGAGTGACAGTGAGGTGTTCGTGCTCTGCGAGCTCCTGGCTGATGTGGGGAAGCGCATGCAGCTGGTCCTGAAGGGTCGAATGACGAAGGGGCTCTGCAGCCGCTGTGCGGCGGCCGCCAAGCTGCAAGGAAGAAGCATCTTCACCTGCGGCCACACCTCCGTCTGTGCGGAGTGTGCAATGACGTGCGGCGTGTGCCCGGTTTGTGCCGCCACGCGCCGTGTTTGAGAGGGGGGTCTGACGCGGCAGCACAACTCTTGTTTGGCGCGTTTTTTCCTTCCTTCTTTCTTTCGCTCTTCCTCTGTTTCCCTTTTTTTCCTTTTTGATATTCCACCGCAAGCCTTTTTTGTGGCCTCCCTCTTTTTTTTCTTTTTCGTGTGTTATTATTATTTCGCCCCTCCTTGCTT